GGCACTCAGCGAAATCAATTGTCATTTAAATATTGATGTGAAGGGCTTGGTAATTGAGCATAGCATACGGAACATTAAACGTGATTTCATATGAATACAATAAATATGTATGTCTACACATGCTTCTGTCAACACGTTCTTTATGGAAAAAAGTAATTCTTATGTTTTATATAAAATTTTCTTCAGGCAGCCATTGTAGCAGTGTCTCGTCAACTCTCGATAGGCATCTGGGGTAATGCTGCTGAGTGATGGACATCCTAATCTAGTTTTTTTTAGCTTAAAACCCTCTCTCCACACACGAATATATCGTACATGAAATGTTATTATTATTTTATTGTGTGGATATTGTTTAACGCCGCACGATCCCAGGTGTCTGTTAATTGTCGAGGCCGGACAATGTATGCCAATAGTTATATAAAAAGCAATCAACCAAGGTCACAGAGAGGTATTGGATTCTTGTGTGGATTTTCAAAATAAATAAAGGATTTGCTTGATATTTTGCAATTTAAGAAAACAACCAAGTTCACTTCTGTCCAAACATTTTATTTTAATTTGCTTTTGTCACTAAACATGGAAATAATAGATATTATTACATTTATATTTGTCAACAATAAAATCAAATGTCTTCTAACGTTCACTGAGAAAACAATATATTTGAACGCTGAACTTAAGCTTCCGGTACATCTGATATCGGACAATACCCGAAACATCCCTTTCACTGATTTATCCATCTGAACCAAACATATAAGAGACCAGCCAACCCGCTTCGTTTGTTCCAAATTAAGATCTATGCATAAAGATCTAGACTGACAAATCTCTCCACAAGACTGTAGGGCAGGAGGGCTGACGTGCTTTTAACGCTATTTGATCAAGGTTACTACATTCAAGGCCTCATTCAAGATCCTGTGGAGAACATTTCCAAATTTGACTCATCAGTGAAACATTTAATGGACGATGCAATTTTCTAGTTTGACTTGTTCCATATATTCCCGTGTTTTTTCAGGTTAACAGTTGACTCGCCTTTGCATGTGTTTGCAACCGTGGGGCAGGATACTTTCACCTTTTTGCGAACACCTGGTATTCTCACTATTTAATAGTAATTTTCAAAAACATGTTCCCGATACAGTTGGAAGGACACAATCGAATTTAGTGGATATTTCTTATGAATATGGAAAGGGTTTTGTCGTTTCATTTAATGACTCTGCTTTCTTATAATTATTGAAACTGTTCTTTCTTTCGCTTTTTTTTGTAAGAGAAATTGTAATAAACCTGTCATCGAATCAATGTAAAGATGTGCTATTTACATGCATGTGTGGACGTGCGCCACACCCGGTTTTGACATTACTTGAATCCTTTCTCATAAAATGCGACCCACCAGTAGAAAAGGGACCTTAAGGGTGCTAGGATACAGGTGTGACGTCATAAAGGAAGACGTTTGACGACAACTTCCGAAAAAATGTCAATGTGTGCGGTCTGTAGAAGTATAATATGTATATATACAGGATATATATATGTATCTTATTTTCCTATCATTATACATAGAACTGAAATAATTACAAAGACGGGTCTAAGTGTGAAAATGGGACTTCGAAAATGAGCCCAAATGTTTATCGTCATGTATCTCTGTGTTTTGTGTTCCTAAGATAATGTAGTTTTAAAATATAATCAGAATCAAAATATAAAACGTTTTCACTCATAAGGTCCCTTATCTCATGGTTGGTCACATATGGGAGCAGTTTCCATTTACAGATGCTATCGATGGTCTTACAAAACCGAAAATACAGAAAACACACAGACGGAATCAGCAAAACATATATAAAGTAGCAACAATGTATTTGGTGCAAAGCAAGAATGTGCAATTGTAAAATAACCATTAGACCATCGATATATCTTAAAGCTGAACATTTGAACAAACAATATGACCACACACTGTTAAACAGTTAATAAACTTGTTTCATATGCTAATTATCAAAAACAAAATTGTCAAACCAGATAAAGACAATATCTACAATTAAGCATTTTTGCTCTAAGTTATAATTCATATTCAATGCATATCATTCTCGCTTTGTTTACATGTTTTGTTAACATATTGTATTAGATCAATATAAGATCATCATAATAATGTCACACACAACATATGCAATGATTTAGATGTTTTTTATGGTATGATCGAAGAACCGTCAAGGAAGGAAATAGCAGACGAATCCATGACGGTGCATTTTACAAAAGACATTCTTATTCAGATATCATTATGTGGCAGGTATAAGACCAAATATCATCCTACATTCACAAGGTATTCACCATATTGCGTAACCTGCAAAACGAATGGAACACAGGCTGTATTTTAGAGTTCAATAACCACAGGCATAACATATGTAATAGGCAAAGCAGCGTAATAGAAACATTGGTGATTATTCATGTATTCGGTGAGGATATTCAATAATGATATACAAAAATATAAAATACTTTACATTAAACATTGAAATACAAAAGTACGTCATGCAAATGACACAAACTACATTCTGTCCCAGTAATGAGCCTTATCCCTGGCGAATAAATACCGGTACAAATCATTTCCTTGAAACAAATGACCCCCTTTAAAACGAATCAAACCTTCCTACAGTAGAAATTAGCTCCTATTAATGATGACACTGAGGCAATTGCACGTGCATCTCGCTCCTTGGATGAGTTATTTTCACAGATATCAATGACATGTAAAGAGTATTCGTGTCCGATACATTATATAAAGCATTTAGAAGGCGACACCAACCAATCATACATCAATTATGTACTCGTCTAGATAAATTGTCTAACAAATACATTCTAAATGATTTATTCAGTATTTTGAATTAGCCAACTATTATATAATAAAAATGAAGGCATATATATTCCACTAAACATAAACCATAAACATATAAATAAATGGTGCAGACTTTGTACCGTTATGAACGAGCTATACAATTTTCTTTTCGATATCTGATAAATAAACTATGTCAATAATAAAGACATCACAATCAAAAACTGTCAATGTTAATGTCCTTGGCTATGACGCATACGGGATTTGAAGCACCGAACGTCTGCTCCAGAGACAAAGGTTCCATCCACTAGATCACGGACGCGGTCTAAACTTCGAAAGATATATTTCCTTCTGATGTAACAATTGCAGTGTAAAGTAATGTGCACAATGAAAAGTGATGAATAAATGAAAGACGTGAAGTGTACAGCCACGTGTCTTGTTCCCTTTAATATCCATCAAGTTATTTGATAAATTTAGATCAACGCCAATCATCGAGATGCAACTGCTATACCAGTGATTGATATTATGAACAACCATGCTCGACTTCAAGGTACAGTGTCAAGCAATCAACCCAGTGAACGATCCTCACTTCACGCTCCATTAAGTCGTCTTTTACAACCACCATCACTGACGGGGAACCAAATCAAAACCAGAGTGCCAATTTGGCCCCACATTGTAAAAGCAAAATAATTTCATTATACAATTGACACATTGATTTGCAACCTGCCTTAAGAACGAGGGATACATGCATCTACTTTTGTACACATCAGGAACACTATGATTCACCACCAGGACACAGCCAAGTGAGCCTGTCATTATGAGAGTGTTATTATATGTTACAAAATGTGCTTTAGTCTGGTAACCCAGCGTCTGTATGATCGACATTTACACTGTACACAATATGTTATTGTTTCTGGAGGAAAATGTAGATCCATAGAAACCAAAAAGCTGGATTGTGAGTGAGTGAGTGAGTGAGTAGCAATATTCAAGCAATATCATTGCCGGGGACACCAGAAATGGGCTTCACACATTGTACCCATGTGAGGAATCGAACCCTGGTCTTTGGCGTGAAGCACTAGACTACCTCACCGCCCTAGAAGCACAGGAAAGGCAGCAACAAGGACACCGCGATACTCATGTTTTGGTATTAGTTTGTCATCCAGACCCATTGATCTGTTGCCGTAGTCTCTTTCTGGAATCAAACTGTTTACAGTCGTAAGTGTTGAAGGAAGCTTTAGGTTTTGTGTATTTGTTATTTTAGGCCGCATTCAGTTACATTCCAGCTCTATACGGCGGTATAATAATCGAGTCTGAGCCTGGCCAACCAGTGGCAGAAATAATGACCCTCGTGTCACGTCGTCGGGGTACAATAAACGATAATCAGTCCAAGATCCTGACCACTGATCTAGTTTGCTCTTTCGGCTAGTAGTAGATCTTGTTGTGTGCCTATTCTAACCTGTGACCTCACAGGGAGATCCTGGGCTTAAATACAAATAATACGTTTCAGAAATAAAATGGACAAAAACATAGCCTCAGATTCTATCCGACATATTTTTTTTCTCATGCTGGATGTAAAGGAAAACAAAATGTTGTGAAAAGAAATAAAACAGGGGGCTCATCCTTTCACCAAAAAAACACATATTAGGTATCAAACTAAGTTCACTTTAGTCTGGTAACCCTGCAGATGGGCATATTATAAGTTGAGCCTTCGGCCTGTGGTATAAAACATTGCAAATGGTATAAAAGCCATTACAACAAGGAGTTGAAATTATCCGCAATGTTTCAATCTGCCGTTGGAAACTAATTAAAAACAAATTTGAAAATTGAGGGAAAACTTCTGTTTGATCAAGCTGAAGTGAACGTACAACTTGTGGCTTCGTAGCCGGGTTCGTGAGATTTATCCTCCCGCTCCCGCGGACTACGTAGCATTTTATCATGACCACGTGACCTAATCACATCTCAACATTCTGACATGGAGCTAAGATACTGTTCGATGATTATTGTTTTTTTTTAAATTAATTATCTCTTTTGCTGATACCGTCCACGTTAACGGAGAATCACTTTTAAAATACAAAACTTAAATCAGAACAAAATGTCATCAACAATGATTAAATCAACAATGTAATGATGACTTTTCAGATTCTTGTGTCATCATTATCCGCGATCATGCCCCTTTCGTCTTGTTAACAGAGTCATGTCACACGATGCACAGTAGCATAATCTGTACCTCAAAGTTGCCCAACAGTTATATACGGAGGACAGTCAAGATTAACTGGCGATTGTGGTTTTGTATCATTTACCTGTTTTCTTTTGACGACGCATACAATGATGATGATGATGATGACGAGAAACACGATTGCACAAACAACGGCAACAATGATCATGAGAGTTGATGGTGTGCGTGGTTCATCATTTCCTGGAGCATCAGTTGTTTCTGCAACAATATAAAGGCGTCATCGGCAATTGTTGGACACCTTTCCTTAAATATCAGAACCCTAGTTCCAGTGCATAAAACCAAAGAACAGTGCTAGTGTACATTATAATGACTAGTAATAGAAAGTAGAAAAGGCAAAGAAAAATAGCAGGAGTTGGCGACTGTTTAAGCAATTAATATGGGGACGAGTTTGTTATTTAATCTGTTATGAAATACTCAAAATCTATTCATTATATTGCCTTATAACTGTACTTGTGGTGTTGACGTGCCCCAATTCAAGGAAGTTATGATAAGACTATTTGCTTTTTTGACATGTTGTAAAAGACTCACTGAGTTCAGTGACGCCATCGCAAGTTAGACTCGTCTGTTTATGGTGACAGCTAAATATCAGCCCTACAGCCCCCAGGTGGGAGTCCGTCACATTCAGGGCTACTGAAGAAGTGCTGTGAGTAACACTTGATACAGAGTCAGCTTCCATCAGCAGTGTTGTCACATTCCCGGTCTGGAGTGAGAAGGTGAGGGCTGTGGAACAGTAGTAGTCTTGTATGTCCACTGTGAGTGTCAGCGTCTGATCCTGGGCAAGTACATCAGTGTCCTCTTTACTGGTGATGCTGCATGTTGGTGTTTCTGAAACATTACAATCCACCTTAAAATGGTAACATAGTTCGAATATATCAAAGAATTTTGAAATATTCAATTGACATATGTTCAAAAATATTATCCAATCGGACATAACTTTTGATACATGGAGAGTGTGAGAGGTTTAGGATAGAAACTGCTGTGATACTAAGGTTTTATGTTTCTGTTTTAAGGCAGCACTCAGCAATATCTAAGCTATATAACGGCAGGCAGTAAATTATCGTGTGTAGACCAGTCAAGCCATTGATTGACATCACGAGCATAAATCCACGCAATTGGGATACGCTGAGATACAATCACAGAGCCTGACGATCCGATCCATTTAGTCGCTATTCACAAGCTTAAGTTGCTGGGGACCTATATTCTTACCCGGAATCCACGCGGGAGACATCCATGTAACGTTCACCTGTGCGTCGATAAACATATCCGGCTATCTTTGTACAGCAAATTGAAACTGACCCATCCAAATAGAGTACTTTTGACAACTTTTGATGCTTCCATTACAGATGGTGTCTTGCCCACTCTAGCCTAGAAATGTTGATACCGATAAACGTGTACCTGTTGTCTGATGGCGGATAATGATATGTCTGTAGGGTGTCTGTTCTGGAGGGCTGTCACCACGCAGGTACTGGTCACCCTAACTCGTGGAGGTTTTGGGGCGACCTGATCGAGGACGATCACTCACGGAATATGTCTGTTTGAACCGAATCCAAAGGCTAGATACATTTTTTTGGAATACCCAAAGGGCCATGCTACATATCGCATATCTGATCTGCCATCCTGCAGCCATGCGGTAGCTGGATTACAAAATTCGACCACGACCCATGATAATTTGGAGAGACTGTTGCATTATTGTCGAACTCAGTTGATACCCACGTTTTGCAAGATGAACTGCATGTGCTGTACGCTTTCTCCTGGTAAAGTGACTTTCACCAATTTCTCATTCGCTTTGATTAGATTACGCAATGGTTCATAATCACGTGGCATTTCCACAAAGTCATCGGTACTTTCCGTCTGTGTTCAACAGTGTTAGACTCAGGTTTTGTGTTTGAATTTGTCGTTTTACACTGTCTTGTTCTGTTCGCAGATAATTTTTTTACGTTTGATGTGTAGGCTTTGTTGAATCAACGCAGTAAAATGTCTAAACTTTTGACCGAATTTATTCGGGAAGAATATTCCACTGCCACTGTCAATCGAGGATGGTGTATATTATTGCGTTGTGTGTATTTGGAAGGATCATAGTCAAAACGGATGTCCACGGATACTAGATTGATTTACTACTTGATATTGTTTCGGTGTATTCCCTGGCATATTTACCGTGGCTTAACTGACGAAACGCCAAGTCGCAAATTTAGAGAGACGATGTCCCAAATGCAGCGACAAACATATATGTTAATAACACTGGTACACGGGTCATGTATACCTTATTCTACACAACTATCATGCATGCACTGAATACATTTCTTCATATTGATAAATGCAATGTTATTAAGGACACGTGCTGCCGAATGAATTTACAGTCACGTTTCACGAATAACCCTTCGAATATATATCTAAACTACATCTTATAATCAAGACACTGTTATCGTTTGACACATCGGACTCAACATTGAGCTGAGTGTGTAATTATATCAACACTGTGTTGCTTCGGATACGATTTAGGTGTATTTCTGATAAGCTGGTCGGATTTAGGCGAGTGTAATTTATGTTTTACTGCCATAATTATTGAAGTGTGATCTTAATTCAAACACATAAATTAATGCATTGATATGAAACAATGACAATAACTGGGACACCAATACGAGATACACACTGCGGAGAAAGACGATTATTTACAGACTGACGTCACAAAGCCGGACTTGTGCTTTGTTACATTTTGCCCGGACGTCGCACATTAAACACCGTCTTCTGGTGGAGCATCTGCTGTCAGGGCAGACTTGTATTGATGAAGTTAACTTAGTTCGTAGCTTAACCCCGGCCATGTGCAAACATGGAAATATTAGAATAAAAGATGCGCTGAGTCACGGGTTCGAATCGAAGGAACATGACAATCCATCTGTCAGCACCATATCCACTTCACGTCAAGAGCATAGCTTTGAGGTCTTTTATTTAGGTCACAACCCTGGCCTTATTAAGATCTTCTAAGCAGTTGTGATAAAACAGACCTGTGTTAGTAGTGCTTTAATCTTTACGCACCCATGTTATATTAACAATGGTACTGTCTAGCATTATATATACACTATAACAGTGAAACTATGCACTTATCATACATATATTGTCACATGTGTGCATATGTAATAGGATTCAGTTATTTCATCTCATTTCAAAAACACGTTTTAAGAGAAATGCCCGACATGTGAATGTATTTGTCTTTCTTCAGCGACACTTCACACCACTGGACATATGTAAATGAACGAATTTAAGAAATCACTGCGGTTTCCGCCATTATTCTTCACCAACGATTGAGAAACACTTTGAAGTTTATCCTGTGAAACTCAGTAGGAATTTAAGTTTGAAATATAAGAACAGATAATGCAAACCTCACTTTGTTAACAATAAATGTTACTTGCTAATTGTCCACTTTGTATATGATACTGCAGTTACTCATTAATACACACATATGCTTTGTAACAGAAAGCTCACAAAGCATTTGATGTAGCAACAAAATCTTTGAGAAACTGTGTCTGTTATTATATTGCGAGCGCTATCGCCTTACTGTGACAAGTGACATGACCTGCTTCTTTGTAGCAAATTGAGTACCACATGCATTCAGCATGTACATCAGCTATCACAAAACAACACAAAGTAGATGTTTGTTTTCTGATTCACTTAAAAAATATGCAACTTGACAAGTGAAAAACAGATACTTTGGTTCAGGGAAGAAAATATCACACACTCCAACATTACTTGTCGGTGTTTTAGTAATCGCAATGGAAATACACAGGATAACGAAGTACTTCAATAATTCCCAGGACAAATTCGCAATATCTGGGCATTTTTTAGATAAACTATGGCCCCTCAATAAGTTACATCTATATATATAATGTCGGTGTAAATAGGTGTTGGGTTTCAATTCATTGAGAATTCCTCTTATCGAGATATTTTCAGTAGTTGGACATTTCCATCATGTGATTTTGTTTATAAGACATGTTACTTAAATGTTGATGTGATATAGGTGAGGTAAAATGGGGTTTAACGTCGCGTCCAAGATTATTGCACTTATATAGCGACGTGCATGCACGTGTGTGTGTGTGTGTGTGTGTGTGGCTGCTTGTACTAGTCCGGACTGATGCCGATTTATAGTGCTAGCTCACTGAGATACCATGCCGCAGTGTAACATGAATACCCCACTCAGACACAGTATACTGACTCCGAGCCGACCATTCCTTGTTTTAGCCCCTTAATGCCGAGCGCCAGACAGGGTAACAACAAGTACCATATTTTAACGTCTTTTGGTATGACGCGGCCGGGGATCGAACCCCGGACCTTCCGCTCTCCGCGCGGACGCTCTACCACTAGACCACGGAGGCGGTGATATGATATAGAGTTTGGCCAGTAATTCAAAATATTAATAAGGAAGGTTGGACTGGGCCCCCACACCTCTCGATAAGTTAGGTTTTCGCGGACACCTGGTAAAGCATGCTTATGATATAGTCGGACTTGTGCACTGAACTCTTTTAGTAGACATCCTATGATATTGCACATGTTTTTTGTCGCTATTATTCAAGATTGTGTGTAGATCATTTTTTCTCCAACGAAACATTGCTTAGAACGCAAAAGTAAACATATTGTGTTACACAATAAAGCAACGAATGGAGCTATATTGTAATCTGTTTAACAAGGGTATCATCGATTCAATTTCCCAAGTGACTTTTATCATGCTAAACATGTCTCGACATTATGTCTGGACATAGTCTATGTTGAATATAATACACACTAAATGGTTTATCAATACTTTACAATTTAAGACATGTGACGTCATAACACTGACATATTTTAACCATGAGTATTATCTTATATCTAGAGTCTCATGAGGTGATACCACCATTACTTGTGTATAAAAGGTCTTCTTCTCTTTAATACATAGAGGATATTTCATGTGTCGAGTGAAATATCACGTTTCTCCCATCGTGTGACGGGGCAAAGGGAGATATTTTCACGAGTGGTGAGATAAGCGTGATATTTCACGAGACACATGGAATATCCTATTTATCATCCAAAACTGGCTGGTTATTGGTTACCATGACGTCACAATCAAATGCTACTGAAGCTGTTAACAGTGTGAACTTTTTACACTGAAGACACTGATTATTACTGTCTACAAACTGAAAATATTGGAAGAATGATATTAGATGATGAATAAAATCTCCCCCTTGTGTCTTTTGATATCAAATATATCAACACTCGTAAATAAAAGTGGAAAAACTCATGCGGATATATTTGATATCAAAAGACACTCGGGTGAGATTCTCTATTTATTACTACCAATTTTATGAAACTCGTGAGCTTTCGCTCGTGCGATACCACAACTATTAACTCGTTTCATAAAATTGGTATTACACGAGAGCTTGTTTAGTATTCTTTATTTATCATATACTTTTTGTAGGTTTTATAAAACCTTGAAACGTAAATTCTCCCTACCTAAGACAAAGGGGCGGATCACCACCCCTTGTATTTGCATCTTAGTATTTAGGGTCACGAAAATTACCTATCATACATTAGAATATGATTATATACAAAATAGACTTTAACAAAAATTATTCTTGAAAACTACGACATTGCTGTTGGAAGCAAAAGAATACACGCTGGTAAAGTAACAAAAATGGCGCTTTGCGAAACGAACAGTCTCGATGGACGCGTTAAATGATAATTTTACATTTATGATGAAACATTTTCAAGAGAATAATAAACAGCATGAAGCGTTATGAACTTGACCACCTCTCATTTGTTTACCTTGTCAGTGTGAAACTAACGTAAAAAGGTGCCAAACATTTACGATAAAGGGAGAACATTTCATTTTGAAGTAACTCTTGAATGACAATAGTTCGGCCAAGCATCAAGTTCACTGCAGTGAAATATCAAATGTTATGGTCACTGCAGTGAAAGCATCACTTTTCTCAATTTCAGAAATCTAAGTCTTTCACAGTGAAGTATATTCCTTTTACAAAACAAACAAATTAGAATGTACCGCTTGAAAATACGCATGATAACAGGACAGTATGAGAAAGGTCAAATTGTAATCCAGGTAAATCTGTCCCAAACGAATTTTGCCAAAACTACAAATCTATGTCTATGTAAGAAGGTTTAGTTTCAGACATGATATGTAACTCTATTTTACGAGTAATGCCAGACCGAACCATGATTCAGCAATATTGCGAGTGCTGTCACTCTGGGCTTGTATGCTATATATTTATATTCAGAATGTCTGCTGGTATGCTTTTGTAATCTCTGTGGAACGCGAAAGCTATCGGAATGCTTCAAGAAATGCATTCGGCCAAATTAAGGACGATAAGAAGCACCACTGCAGCTGATCATCATGGACTAGAAGTCCAACAGTACAACGCTCACACCTAAAATGTCACTGCACGGCCACTCGTTGCGTGATGACATAGCACATACATTGAGGTAAACATGTGCACATTCTTATTTATTTTCTGAAAACATGTCAAACCTTCGTGTAGAAATTATGCTGCATGCAGTTAACATGTTTTGCCAAAAGACGCTACGTGGTATCCCCTTATGTGTCTTTGTAAAATGCATTAAATAATCAAATCTGAACCAAACTGCCGGGCAAAAAAATATACACCTACGAATGATGGTGGCTAAAATAAAACAAACAATAAATTGCTATTCGTTGATGATATTAACAATTGAAGATGCAGCCTGGTAATGCTTTTTTTAACGTTTGTAATAGCTTAGTCAAATACGCCATTTTGCCCTGCAGTTAATTCGTATATTCCGTTACATATTCTGAATACAGCCAAAGTGATACCTTTAAATCTAGTTCTGTTGTTCAAGGCAGTGGTATTTGTCTGCTGTTCCTAATATTTTCGAATTTCTTCTGACGAGAATTATGTACAATAATGATTTAACACTGGTTTATGTACTGACAACGAGTTTAATCAGTACGAGGACGCAGTTTGAACGTTTTATGCGTGTTAATGAGAGGAATTTACTTCCGACCAACAGCTTAGAACTTACTTGTAGTGACGAGATTACAAGATGTGCTAGGTCCATCTGGGATGTTTTTGCATGTCCACCTCCCTGCATGATATGGTTGTATACTCAGTATCCTGAGTCTACTGTAGGTTGCGTTGACGACACTTGCATTATATCCTTTAACAGGCGTGCAATATTTGTTTCCTGCTACACACTGTGGGGCACTTACGTTACCGGGCCCAGAATACTGGAGGATTTCGTAAGGTACCGACATTGAACAATGCATCAGAGCAGAGTCCTGAACGTAGGATATGTCAGGGCAGGTAAGCTCAGCTGTGGTACCTAGGTCAGTCAGAGAAAAAAAAAATCATAACACACTTCAAAACATACAATTCATGCTTAAAATGCGTGGCAAGGTAAATGTGCACGTACGCCCTGATTTCACCCTAAAGGCTATTTGTCTGGTAGTTTGTTATGAGTCGAAGCAGCATAATACTTGATTGACTTTGCAACTCGAGGCATAGCTATAGAAACGGGTGCAAAGAAACTTTGCTAATGCACCGGAGTCAAATACAATCTGCTAATGAATCCAGAAGGCACAGGACACAAAACCATGGAAAAGGGAAAGTCAAATATTAAGACTTTAATTGAATTAACATTTTATCACTGTTTTCATGTTGAATAATATTTTGTTCAAAGTTACTCACAGTGTTCCACATTCATGTTGCAGAGAACCACACATAAGTAGAGTAAGGTTGTTATGTCAACTGACTGCCTCATCTGTAAACAGAAATGTTATTATAAGTAGAAGTTCCTTTCCCTTACATGGCAGTGTATGTACTCCACACACATTCACATCGAGAACACTTGACTGAATTACATTTCTGTATATGAACTTCAAAGTTCAACCCAGTTATACCAAATGTATGTTGTCAACATTATTTTTTGAATGATATGCGGAACAACAAAAGTTCCTGTGACATTGAATAATACTGAATGAAAAGTTTTAAATGATTTTTACCAAATATGAAACAATTTCGTTTTGCAACAGATAAAAGACTATTGTAGGTGTTCAAATGGTTTAATTTGCCACACTGACTTCAGAAAATGCGGGATTTCATAAAAAAAAAACATGAACATGCCAAAATGCCAATTTACAAAACAATAGCGTGTGTGTCCAACTCTGGTTGCGATGCAAGCAACACATCTCGGTACCATGGAATGGACCAGGCATCGCAAGTCCTGTGGGATATCTGTCCATATCTGCTGGAGCAAGTTTCGAAGTTCCTGGAGTGTCTGTGAAACACGTGGTTGGCGTCGAAGGCGACGATCCATCTCATCCCACATGTGCTCGATTGGTGAGAGATAAGGGGAGCGAGCCGGCAAGGGGATGACATTCACGTTGTTTTGTTGAAGATAATCCTGAACAAGTCGGGGTATGAGTGGGCCATGACGACCAAAAAAACGTTAGAACAACATTGCCGATGATCTCGTCGCGGTAGCGCCGTCCATTGATATTTCTCTCTACCACTATCAAACGGGTCCTCTGTCTTGCAGTAATCCCACCCCATACCATAACGCTGCCGCTCCCGAACCGATCTTCTTCCATGACACAATGATTGACGTATCGTTCACCTCGACGTCGGTACACTCGAATCCGTCCATCGCTGTGGCTGAGGTGAAAACGAGACTTGTCAGTGAATAGGTTTGTAAGGTCGTCGAAGGCTAGGGAGGCTTCTTGCAGTCACTGTTGCTGGCTGGAATCGATTTTGTAAGTGTGTTATTCGAATCCAGTTGTCTTGTCGATTATTGGTTAGCCGTGGCATGTCACTCCGAGGATGGTCTCTGACTGCATTCGTCCGTTGCCAACGTTGCCATGAACACCAAATGGTGTTTCTGTTGACGTTAAATCGTCCTGCTTCAAGTATACCAATGGCTCACAGACGCTCATTTTCGGACAGGCGTGGCATTTCATAATGTTGAATAATTGCGTAATGTTGTTGTTTTTCTGTGTGATTGTTGTCAGCACGATGCTAAACAATGAATATGGAATCCCGTTAACGCACATGTTTTTATACCCATCCATCGGTAGTGAAATGCATGAGGCTTGCACAAAAGTCAACTTTTGCATGGAATGCATGCTTTTCTGTAGCAGTCGCGTTTTTCATACACGTGATTGATTCCATACACGTACTACAATATTGAAAACCAAACTTTACTTCTTGGAAAAATACACTAAAATATTGGTGTCACAGGTACTTTTGTTGTTGAGTATATATAATCTTCAAAAAGAAGAATTAAAATTATATAAATATTATAAATAGTGGAATATATAGGCAAATTATTGCTGTACAATATGCACTTAACAAAAACAGGTATAAAGATGTCCTAGGAAGGTGGAGCGTCAGTATCGATCAACGTCCGAATAACAGCCCGGGGGATGTTTTGTCACTCCTGCTCTAGCTCCACAGGGGCCGCCGGGTAGCCTAGTGGCTAAAGCGTTCGCTCGTCACGCCGAAGACGCGGGTTCAATTCCCGACATGGGTGCAATGTGTGAAGCCCATTTCTGGTATTCCCCCGCCGTGATATTGCTGGAATATTATTAAAAGCGGCGTAAATCCATATTCACTCACTTACTCTAGCCCCACAAACATTTCCTGTAGTGTCCATCTTGCTTAAGGCCTTGTGACTCTCTGACGACACCACTCCACTCACGGAGGTGACGTCAGGATGTTACGCCGCATGGGTCTCCTGGCAAGAATACCGACTGCTCTCAGACGATTTCGAATTGTCTGATCTGATATTCGACGCACTCCCGGTGAAAAAATGAAACGGTCCTGTAGGTGTTGTACCCGGATGTAGAAATCTTGACCAGTCGTTGTAACGCGAGGTCGTCCTGACCTTGGCCTGTCACGAACCTTGCCGACGGTATTGTAACGTCTCCACAAGTTAGAGACGGTCAATCTGGTCACACCCATCACTTGCGTCACATGCTGTTGTGTTTCACCCGCTTGCAGCCGGACGATGGCGTTGTTGCATTGTGCTTCTGATTGACGTAGCCTTTTAACAGCTCGTTTTCTGATTGTCTGATGCGTTTGTTAGCAATAACTTTCCTTGCCTTTTCAACCTCGATGACAGAGGAATTGTCACAGAGGAAATGTTCAGAAAAAAACAACGTTTTTGGCACTGCAGCTGCGTTTGGGCGAATTGCTCTTCCGCGACGTCACAACAGTACGTTTCGGGCAGTCTGCATGATTTCTCGAAAATTTCATGAAATTCAATGATTACTTAAGAAATGAAATTCAATTTCTACCATGCAAAAACGATCAGGTCCGGTGTCATCAAATGTCTGCATGTATAGTTTCTTTGTTTGAAGAGTATATATTGCATACGCACAATATGTGATATATGAAGATGAACGAATAGTTAGGATATTACACAACATTTAGCATTCGTCAAGCTGTAATAGGACAAGAGCACTAACGAAGATTTCAAACGTTGTGACTCTTTTGTGAATCGAGTCTCTCTCTATATATAACGATGTCTCCCAGTTCACACAAAGCACAAGTAATCATCGAACGTGATTGAAACGTGACATTAATACGTTTAGTGTTTAGTATGTTAGGTTGTATGCTTAATAAAGGAGGTTTGTACTTACAGTAAGATGTGTCCTCATTGTACAGCCGTCAAATCATTTACCAACATCGCGCTACGACGTACACTGGAGACCATGTGATAACACCTGTACAGGAAACTGTGCATGTATGCGAAGGTGGGCGATTTTAAATTTCTTCCTTGTCCGGGTTCACACTGTTTTTGATAAACATGAATCATTAACAATGTAACATTATCATCGGTACACAAAAATGAAATCACATGGTTTTATCAATTAAGACCTGAACCAGGTAGTCGTGTTCAAGTTTTTTCTATTCCAGGAATCAGGGAATTTTTCTTTCATCAAAGGGAGACAATTGCAGTGCTGTGTCTTGCAAAGAAACCTCGGAATTTGGAGGAATTTTATGTACACTCCTGTAGACATTTCACTCGATGCAACCAAACAAACTAATGTCCGCAGAAAAGTTCTGGCCACTAAACAAATTGCGTGTCAATAAAATGCAGTCACACACACTATATTCAATCACTCACCTACTCAGGTCGTGAGATAATTATAATTTACATTATGTGAAGTCGGCGCTTTTTCATAACATACTTCACATAATAAAGATGTTTTTCGTCAATCTACATGTGGTCAATTGAAAAGCTTAGAGCCAAAGGGCCAATGTCATGTGGACTCTGTTTTGAGAAAAGTGATGAAAACACATAATATTATGCATGATAATGAACTTTGTTTTAACCGATGAATTCCTAGACATTCTGACAGCAGAGATATGAATGTTTATGAATAAAAACATTCGAAAAGGGACATAAACTTACGTCTTTAATTTGTGTAAGGGTGGAACGGGTCAATGTCTGTATTTTGGCCCTTTTTTACCCTCGGGCATTTGCATGGGATTTAACACGTGAGATTGATTAACTGCTACTGAAAGGGCGAACACATACTATTGAAGTATTTTTAAATGATATAAACTAATGCCAACTGTGTTGAAATTGTTGAAAGATGATAATAAGGTGTCCAAAGTTTCTCTCAGACAACCAGTCTCAACCACACACGGAAATGAGAGCTAAAAGAGCAAAAATCTAACAAAGTGACTTTGGCCCTTTTGGAACTTGACTTTGGCCCTTTTATATAATTTTAACTAGCTATATTTCAAAAACGCATCAATGAAAACATACAATATTTGTTCTACAGGTAGACAAGAACTCATAGATGTCATTTATGCAATGATATGCGAAAAGGGCCAAAGTGCATTTTGGCCCCTTTTAGCTCTAAGCTCTTCAATTGTGCCAATTGATAAGGGTAGTAGAAGTGTAGGATCATGTGTCCTCTTAGTGTCGTGTTTATTTTGAAAAGGAGAGCAACATCGATAAAAGTATTTACCTTCAAGTATTTACCACAGCCGTATCAATAGTGGTGTGGGTTGTCTTGTATTTTGTGAGACGTATCACGTGTTCGTCCGTCGTTGTGTTGTAGGCAAGATAACTTTACGACAAACTTCAAGCGGACAAAGGTCGTCCGATAGCAGTTGGGTCGGACTAGATTTCCACGATCTCCTTCCTGAATAACATCTTTCTCAATATTGCCCAGCGTCACACCGGGTGTACTTTTCATGTCTCCAAGTACAATGATAGAAACACCTGGGTACTCTTCTACATATTTACCATATTTTGCCTTTCTCTGTTGTCATACCAGGTCGATCTCTCTGGTTGGATATAAATGAAGACGCATAATGCATCTCTTGTTAACACCTCATAGGTTACTAACCTCATTACATACTGCAGCCTTGCCTTTCCTCATTTGCATCTGAAACTGCTTAAATACCAGAATCAAAAGGTCCCAGTTTTTGCTCAACACCTCACAAAGCAATACTATCTGTGTAAGATAGAGTTACTAAACTGGAGCGGTGTTCCACAAAAACAGAGGCACTTATGTTTACAGTGACGTCATCCACCTTACCCTGATCTTCACAATTTGTCCACTATTGACCAAAATTGTCCAGAATTGTTCATTCAGTCAACTGGCCACATACCTTAGGCATCCGAAAACAACTCCCGTTCCAAGAAAAAGAAAGAAGATACCCATGGTTGTCAACCATCTATATCGTCGGTGACCATGTTGACAATGGGTTGTACCTGTCCACTGACACTGGCTGTTGGAACACCCCAGTATCCATTCTCAAGATATTAATGTCCACCTTCATAATCTCACGGCATTAATATGAGATTGTTGTTGAAACACAGCTCTCAGTTAACGCAGCATTACTAAAATTTAGTTTCCGGACAATTCGACAGTAGCCCCATATACCCTGTGTGCACCTGGCACATCATTTAAATTTTGTTGAGTGTTGATATATTTGGTATCAAAAGTCACGAAGGTGATATTCTATTTATCATCGACAGTCATTCGTCCAACTTTTGCAGTTTGTAAACATTAATAGCCTTTGGTTTGAAAAGTAAAGTTAACTAACTTAAATCCATAGTGACGTCATGGAACCGATGACTTTACAATGACCCGCAAAGCATTGTGATGGACTTTCATTGTCGGTCTATCTCATTAATCTTGACCCTCACCGAAGCGATATTTGCTGTGGAAAACAGTTTGGACGTTCAATGTTGTTTTATCTATTTAATAGTGTTTCATAGTCTTGGTCTAGTTTACAGTTTCATGTTTGAGGAGAAAGCATGGCAGTCTTTTGATACTGGCTGCCGTCTTCTCTCCCATTGTTATGTCTTGATTCGTGTATATATGTATGGTCATTTCTGGTTTAGACTCGTTTCAGGTTGCGTACATAGATGGAATGGAGGGCGTCATCACAGAACAAACAAACAACATTTTTTTTTATTATTGCCTTTAACCGTTGTTTGGACGACAGTTTAGCTAAAAGGATCATGCCGAGCAATACTTCCGATAGGGCAATGCCTTTCAGCTTAATTTTCTTGTGAACCGGTTCATGATTTGCCGAACGGGTAGCAACTGACCAGTTGTACCAAAAAATAGATATGTCCTGTTTACAAGTTACCTTAGGTCTCTATTATGAAAGCTACAGAACCCTTTCCAAGTTTTTTATAGTAACACGCAGACACGCACGCACGCACCCTAATCAGGCGTCGAACAAGAATGAACAAAAAGGTATGCAGAAATTGAAAGACAAAAATAAAACATTTCAGTGTTTTGGAAAAACAACCAAGAGCTTTATTAAACTATCGCAGAGGTGGTGACATTAATTGTGAAGATATGATAAAATTGTGCGTTGAATATTTTTTTTCATATCATTCACTGGCATAGTGAACCAGTAATTGGATAAAAGCCGACTTTCTTTCACACTGATGCGACGTTTCGGGGTAGGTACACATATTCTACATACATGCGAGCATCTACACTGAAACATCGCAATGCATTGTGATATAAGGTTTTAATCTAAACATGTGTTTGTTAATATCCTATTTCAAACATTATAGACACAATAAAAATGTGTTTAATTCAGAGTTATACAGACACTATACACGGTGTAAATGGTATATTGGTCGAGATGAGGGTGGATCATAAAGCTTTAATTTTTATCTTGAATACTAATTATAAATCATAGTATGAAAATAATGTGCAGGGTATAATTGTCTATTTTTTGCTATTTTGGTTGATGCAATTTACACAAAGGACACGAAACCCTTCATTTTGGAAAATGTTCTAACAAGGTGAGAATTTATCCATATGTGTTGTAAAATAGAAACCCGTTTCTTTGCAGGATACCAGTGCTTCACATGTTGTCAATTTGTTCATATGTTCTCAGATGTTCATACATGTTTGAAGGCTGGACAGCTGTTCTTTCAAGGCCAACATATTCTCCTCTCGTTTCCGAAAGTAGGTGATCACCATCTGAAACAAATGTCAAAAAGACTCTTTTAACAAATATTGGTTCACTTAAATTAGATTTGGGAATGACCAACTACTGATAAAGAATGCACATGCAGAGTATATTGTGTTTATGAAATACAGTAGCTAACAATGGATCAGCATATTCATATTATGATCACTCATGGGGATTCTGAGTTACTACTGGTCCGCTTAGACGCCTGACATTTCGTAAGAGGCGATTAATATATTCATTGCTAATTACGCGTCATTGTGCCAGGTAGGTGGTTCGACACTGATAATGTCAATCACTGGTCTGTCTGCTCCAGATTCGACTACTTATAAACGTCAGATAGCTGGAATGTTGTTAAATTTGGCGTCAAATAGCAAACGACAATGTACAAACAAATCATATTGTTGGGAGCAATAGTCATCAAAAAGAAACATTGGAAAGGAATTGGTGTATATGAACAGAGAATTATAACTAACACTTTGATCTACTATTGATGCAAATCGCAAGCAATATAAACGATATATTGATAATGCACCAATATCAGTTGAAGTAATTAAAAAACTTGAGCAGCGGTATTGGAAACTTGTGCTCTATCACTATTTACCTTCATTTTGCTTTCAGAATTTGTCCTTAAACATTATAATGGACACTGACAGTATTCTCAATGTTAGTTTTGTCTACATTTTAGACTTACATGTCGATATGTATATATATACTACCCATCAAAAGTTTAGACTCACTGAAACCACTCACTATATCTCGTAAGAAAATCGTATTTGTGAAAGCTACCGATAAAAAATAACAAAATCATTCATTTAGGTCTTCATATCCTTGTTCACAAGGACGTGTGCATTGATGATTAGTGAACCAGAATGCCGTATTGGCTAGTACCATACAAAAGTGAAATTGCAAAATTTATTAACGGGTATGACCACCCCTGGCTCTAACACAGACATTGCATCGACGTTGCATACCACGAAAGAACAGTTCAATCTGCCGCTGGGGAATGTTTGCCACTCCTCCAACAATGCATTGCGACTTTGGCGAAGGTTAGCAGGGGGAGGAACTCTGGCATAAACACGCCGTCCCAGCAGATCCCAAACATGCTCAGTGGGGTTCATATCGGGCGATAATGCTCGCTAATCCATTCGATTCACCCCATTTTGTTGTAAACAAGCTGACACGATGCGAGCTCTGTGAGGCCTGGCATTATCATCTTTGAAAACAGCGTGACCTGGCATGGCCCTTAAGAATGGAAGCACAATAGGAATGATGATCTCGTCCCTGTATCTCTGGCCAGTCAGATTTCCATCCTGTACCAGTAAATCAGTTCTTCCAGTCAGGGTGATACCTCCCCAGGCGATAACGGATCCACCTCCAAATCGATCATGCTCCACAACAGCAACGTCAGCGTACCGCTCTCCCTGACGTCTGTAGACTGGGATCCGACCATCGTTGAAATGCAGATTGAACCTTGATTCGTCGGAGAAGAGTACCCTTGCCCATCTGCGGGGACCCCAGCGTAAATGTCCATTTGCCCAATTCAGTCTGTTCTGTCGGTGGCGTGGTGTAAGAGGGGGTCTTACAGCTGGACGACGTGCCCGCAGTCCGTAGTGACGTAATCGGCGGCGTATTGTTGATACAGATACACGTCGTCCTGTAGCTTGTTGGAAAACATTATTGGCTGCTGTGGCTGTAATGTGTCTGCCCCTGAGAAACAGCAAAAAGACGCATCGGTCATCTTGCTGTGATGTTACCCTTGACCTACCCGACCTGGGTCGATCCTGGACGGAGTTGGTCTGTTGAAAGCGTACCCAGAGGTTGGAAACTGCCTATTGGGATACGCCAAGACGTCTGGCAACATACCGTTGTGATCTGCCATCTTGTAGCAGTGCCAAGGCTTGATGTCGTTGCTCAATACGGAGATTCTCCCTCTACCCATGCTTGCATAAAAGAAGAATTTATCCACTAACTCAGAAGAGCCAACTGCAATCCTTATCAAGATGAATTGCACGATTATCCCGCGTCAAATTGCTGCTAAAACACGTGCATTATCGTGCATGTGAACACCTGCGTTTTGGTGCGAATTTTGTTTAAAAATGTGCGACATTTCACAGAGTTTTATCAATTAATGAACGACAAACTCTTATCTTTTCACCGTTACAGATTTGGTTTTACGCCACATCAGTTCATGTGCTAACAGTACCTGTAAAAAGTTTAGAATATTTGGCATTATCTGGTTTGAAACAGTTGAGTATAGTGAGTGGCTACATTTACACTGATGAGTCTAAACTTTTTATGGGTAGTATATATATATATATATATATATATATATATATATATATATATATACATACATCATTGATTAAATCCATTTTGAAAATGTAACCACTTTACAGTGAGTGAGTGAGTGAGTATGGTTTTACGCTGCTTTTAGCAATATTCCAGCAATATCACGGCGGGGGACACCAGAAATGGGCTTCACACATTGCACCCATGTCGGGAATCGAACCCGTGTCTTCGGCGTGACGAGCGAACGCTTTAACCACTAGGCTACCCGACCGCCCCTACAGTGAGTGAGTGAGTTGGGTTTAACGCCGCTTTTAACAGTATTCCAGTTATGTCATGGCGTGTCAGCTTAATGTGAGAGGAAAGCCCGAAGTGATGCAGGTCTCAGACGTTTACCACATCGGTGAAACCCACGAGCACGGGTATGGTGCTGACAATACTAGAAACATAATTGGGGCGAACAGGGATTCGAACCCACAATCATAGGTTTCTGGCGTAGCAAAGGGACGCAACTCTGTACAGCGAATCGCGGCGCCTTAGACGACTGGATCATCTAACCATTGTACAACCTGCAAGTATTAATATGTATTATAGCTAAAATGGATAGAATTATCATTGAACCGCCCGCACGTTATCAGAAATGAGCGGGCCACTGTAACTTGATAATGCCCTCATATTACTTGACGACGGGCCATTATCACGCCCGTTGTTAGGTGACGTCATAGGGTAGAGAAAATGACGTCACTTATTATAGTGACGTCATCTGGTTTGTTCTATGACTTTTCCATATTTGTAAAATGTGGTCAGTGACATTCGTGTTGATTGCAGTAAATGTTTCAAAACCGATATTGTTGTTTCTTATTATTTGATAACAAATTCCATCCATTTTAGCTATAATAACGGTAACGCTCTTTTTCAGGGCATTATCATTTGCAGATGCCCTCGGTCTTTTCAACTGCCCTCCTTCGTCGGGCAGTTAATGAAAAACCTCGGGCTTCTGCAAATGATAATGCCCTGAAAAATAGCGTTACCCTTATAGTTGTATGAGAATGATAACCCTACATCCAATTTGAATGTCAAACTAGTGTCATGCAAAGGCGTCAACCCACCCATCACACCTGTCTCTGCCGATGTCCCTGTCGTGACTGGTCTGCCACCTACAGAAGTAGGGATGTACACAGGATTTATACGCAGTCTGGGTCCTTGTTGATCAATACCAGAAGCAGATCCTCCCGGGCCGACTACAATATTGTCCTCAGCCTGATGCACAGCGTCCTCGGAAGGGGGATATACGACTGCTACCTTCCGTATTCCTTGTGACACAGTTACAACCAAGTCATCATATGTATGATTCACTGCTGATCGCGGCGCCTGATGTCACCAAGGACAAAACAAAAGAAAAGAAACATCGCATGTAACAAAAGACTAGTTCTGCTTCTTGACATTATTATATTAAAAGTGCAACTTGATTGTTATCCTTTACATGTATCACTTTTCAATGCGATCAAAATTTCACCACATTTCCGTGACCTCGCTCGTATATCATGTAAGGATTTGGTATGGTTACACATATATTAATATTGGATTTCGTACTGACATTATGACATTAGATATTTCGTGAGTTCCATCTTTAATCATTTGTGTTCAACATAACTGAGGAAGACCCCTGCACAAATAACTCACCTCCTCACCATAAGTTGTTCTTCTCGGTTCCCCTTCAGTTATATAATATATATACTAGTATATAATATATTCATAAGGAGGGGAACAAAGTTTACTAACGATTGCGGTTTTATTCGGTTTACCTGCTTTCTTTTGACGAGAAACACGATGGTGATGACAACAATGATGGAAAACATGAAAGCACCAACAACTCCACCAATAATCATTTTAATGTTTAGTCCTCCTCTCTCTTCGATACCAGTTGTTTGGGGTTCTGCAAAATAGTGTTTCATGCTTGATGTCTATTTTTATATTTGAAAAATCTTTTCCTGTTATCACATTAATGGCGAATGGCGTTTAAAGACATACTTATCAGATACATTTCCAATTTTGACAATCAGTAGGGTTACGTTCATTATTTAAAAAAGAAATGCCATTTAACATGATCTTATCATTGTGTTATGATGTTTGTAAATGTAATGTGTACTTTAAATGAAACGTGTTGCAATTGCGCAGCTGCTACACTCATTGGTGTAACAAGAAAGAACCGATACGTCAGAGAAACATCAATGTGTGACATGCACAAGGTGCAAATCACTTTGATCAGAAATACGAAAGAATTGTACCAGTCGCCTTACATTTGTATACGGTGTCCCATAGTGACACCTATAAACAAGTATGCGTATTATGTGTATTATTATACCTACACAGATCGTATGGAATTAAAAGTGACAGAACCCTTTTCAATGATAATTTGTTTCTTCTCCAAAATCAGAGTCCATCGGACAATTCCGACAATGTCATCAGCAGGTGTTTGTCAATGACCAGTGAATCATCATTAGATGAATCTTGGTTTAGAGACCATGAACAGGAATCAGCTGTGCACACAACATTACGTAGTATCCATTCATATATCTTCGACAATCAAGAAATACTCACGCTTAAGGAGTTTACTTATGCCATCACAGGTGAAGATATTGTGTTTTTGTTGACAGTTGAATATCAGCCTTACACGACCAAGGTGTGTTTCTGTTAAAAAAAAGGTGTATGTTGCACGATAAATGCCAGTCCCGACAACATTGACAGTCAGTAGTTGTTGGACGTCCCCTGTCTTTAGTATGAAGTTGGATACTACAGGACAGTTGTAGGCATGAAAGTCCACTGAGAGAGTCAGCTCTTCATTCAGGACAAGCCTGTCAGTGTCCTTGTCACTGGTTATGCTGCAAGTTGGAGTCTCTGAAGCAGATGTAGAGTTTGTTATATTATATTAAAGAGCCACATAAATTTGGTTGATGTGCTACAAAGAATATTTCACAATAATTGTTGTTTAAAAGACAATATCAAAGTTGATCAAAAAGACACATTTCTTAAAATAAACGGCCTTCAAGCTATCTTATAAACAAATGTATATGAAGACTTGGATGCTAAATATGTTCTGAAATGGTCATCATTAATTGCGCTATAACAGTAAGTGTGGGGAGACCTGTATCGATTCAAGCCTGCTAGTAAAGTTCATTGCTTCTTTCAGATAACATAAAAATACTCACTGAGTTCAGTGACGCCATGACAAGTTATATCCCACTGTTTGTTATGACAGTTATATATCAGTCCTACAATCCCCAGGTGGGAATTCGTCACATTGAAGGTTGCGGCAGTAATGTTGCTAATAATACGTGTTACATGTTCAGCAATCGGCAGCGGCGTTGTCACGTTCCCGGTCTGTAGTGCGAAGTTTGAAATTGCAGAGCAAAAGTAATCTCTGATATCCACTGTAAGTGACAATTCTTGATACTTGGCAAGTGCATCAGTGTCATTATCACTCGATATGTTGCATGTTGGGGTCTCTGAAACAGGATTGTTTTAATGTCTCAGAATACAGAATTTCATTGTGTGCTCCTTCAAACTCTTGGTAATCTTCTTGACAGTGACTGTGTGGTAATAAACCAGTACCTATACCATTCGGCAGGCCGACTTGGGAGAACATCAGTACACCAACATGATTATATTTTGATTATTTTGATTATCAGGATAATTCACACTTTCATACCCGTACTGAATGTCCTCATAGATAGATCTAATAATCACACAATACTATTTTACAGAAAATATGCCTTCGTAACTTGAAAACTAAATGAAAATTTGGCAACATGTGTGAATAGTCAGTTCTGCGATCTCGTGGTGTATACGTCCACTCAGTTTAAACTGTTATACATGAAATGACACATGAAATTTGTACCCATTGTGTTTACCAATAGAAGCAAATACGACTATTGTCTTTTTGAATGGAAGATATCCGTTACGTTTAACAAATGTGCGGATAATATAGCACGTATACATGTCAAATGATAACAGCAACATGTATTAATATTAATACTAAGGGTCAAATGATTTACAGCAGAACTGGTGTTCAGTGGCAAAATACGTTTGTCAAAGACTGACCTCCATTGTGTACTAATTTTTAACACCTCCTTGAAAATTATGTGAGTGGAGCGTGATACCGCTAGAGCAGGATATAATTACCCTCGTCGTGAACACCTGATGCCATGAGTGAGTGAGTTTAACGCCGCTTCTAACAGTATTCCAGTTATATCACGGCGTGTCTGCTTAATGTGGAAGGAAAGCCCGAAGTGATGCAGGTCTCAGGCGTTTACCACATCGGTGAAACCCACGAGCACGGGTATTGTGCTTACGTACCTAGAAACATAATCGGATTCGAACCCACATTCATAGGTTTCTGGCGTGCCCAAGGGACGCGACTCTGCACAGCGAATCGCGGCGCCTTGGACGACCCGCGGCCACCCGTCCTGAAGCCATGACTGATTTTCAGTAATTATTTGTATCTTTGTTTGACGATGTTACGTATAAAGCACCACAGATTGCACCGTGAACCTTATGATTTCCCATTGTTACTTTTACATCTATTTTTGCTGATGACAAACGTGAAAGTGCCCTTTTTAGTAATGGGAAACAGTCTCTTAAAGATGTCCAGAAAAATTGCCATAGCTCATCTGCGTTCTTTTTCTCCCATGATAATCAATGAAACATGGTAGGTCATAGAGTGAAAACACTGACTTGAACATTTCAGAAACTTCAGTATTTGTAGAAAGGCAAGGGATCAATGCCCCAAACCGGTAAATCAGTTGTTTCCGGTTACACTTGAACTCAATTATTCTTTTCGAGAAAACGTATTCAAAAGTTCGATTTCCACAAAATCTGTGAATTGTGTAAAACCAACTGAGACTGAATTTAGATGTTATAATCTGAAAAGAGAGAACAAATATTTGTTTCACATAAATACTTATATTCTATTTTGTATTACATAAAACAATTTGATCAGCTTTGTCAAGCGATAGAATACTGATCATTGATGCACCATGATGGCAGCTGTTACTGCTGACTCGTCGAACTGGCGGTGCAGTACATTCCGAATTTGGCCACTGTCGATATTTACTACTTGATATTGCTTATGCTAGTTTATTTTTAACACGATTGACATTGTTTATCAAACCTTTAATTATAAATAGCGACAAGTCTTTGACATATCGTAAATTAAAGTGGATGCATTTCACGCAAAGTGTGTCCTTGGATGTCTATACCTAATGATGAGATGTCGCCTGATACATTTAATTCACCTACGATGTCTTCTGGAATATTTAGATTTATATTTTTGTTGTACAAGTAAAGTCACCCATATTTCTTGTTCTGGCGTCTCCTAACATTACAATATCACAATCACAATAATATTTACATACTAGCATCTCAGTTTCAATATCATTGAAACACACATAGTTATGGTAGGGTGATCAACACCAAGTACTAAATCACATCTAGATAGCAGTATCTCAGATGATATCTTCACTAGAAGTAAACATTCACTGTTAGTTGGGATGTATGAGACATAGTTGTTGATGGTATTCTCCACTGAGATCGCTAATCCTCCTGCTCGTGTGTTAGATGATCTGCTCTGATCTGTGTAGGCTCATTAGTTAATCCTGACTAAAGTGTCACATCATCCATTTAGTCTCAGCAAGGAAAATAACGTTTGCTGATTTGATGAACTGGATACAGTCAGGATTAAAAAATATACTCATTAAACCACACACATTAATCAATGAGAAAGTTAGTTGAGGGGACCTCAAACTTCCTAGACCACCCTATTTGATTGTTCCATTTAGGTGACAGGCGTTAACGGAGCACCTTATGAATACAGTACCACAACTTCTCGTGAGGACGATCTTTTTTTAAAGTCAAGCAACCAGTTTTTGTGAGTTTCGGATTGTTAGCCCGATAGCTGAGCTACATCCACAGTAATTGAAGCTGAAGTACTGTCGGAAATGCTAGATAAATGTCTGACTTGCGTACGTAAGACGTGACCGTGTTGTGCCGCCAGCACATATGTCCTGTACTTTACAGCGTTCTTATTCAGCCGGATTTTCTCCATGAGTTTTACTTTCATTTCATATGGTTTGAAGTCGACAATGTCATATATTCCTATATGGTCGCCCTCAGATTAATCATGGTTTGGGCGACAGTATCTGATCCCCGGACGTTATATTAACTGGCGTTATATATGACAATGACACTGTCATTGTTTAAAAAGGGCAATAGCAGAAAGTCCAACCAGTCTATGAACACATCGAAAACTAGCACACATCCATCGATAGGCCCCGTATCATTGGTTGCAGCGTGCAAAACAATGACACGATTTCCGTTACCGATAGCCACAAGTAGTCAGTGGAATTATTAATCAAGGTAAATTATCTGGACGCCCTGAATGTGATAGTTATGAATGGTTCGGAGATAAAGTCATAGTCAGGACTATTTTCCCCTGAAAAGTGCTCTGTCATCACCATGCGCAGTGTATCGAAATCCCATCTCTTGGAGGGCAATAATTAGTGCAGTTGACATGATTTGACTTAAACATATTTTATTGCGGAAAATCAAATGGATTCGGCACAAGTGAGACACTTACGAGGCCTTCTCCTACATACCTTTCATTACATTGTGATTTGTGAATAATGATAGTGCAGAATAAATGTACAGTTCATAGGAATCACCTACAAGTAATGAGAAAATATAATAACACACATACATTCATATAATAATAATAATATATAATGTATACAGTATTACACACAAACACATATGCCTACATACACTCACACATACATATACATGTATGATGAATTTATGTGTTTGGTATACAATGGTACATTTCGGATTGTCTTATTAAAAATATTTTTTTGACATCCAAGAAAACAGTGAAAAGCATTTTAGCATCGGGAACCGCAAGGGCAAGAAATAGTGTCTGACAAATTATTCCAAAACTGAAATAATATGAAGATTAAATAACATTTGGATGATTTTTTGTTTTATATTCAGCTACAGAGATACCTTTTTTTAATATGATCATTTTGTAAATTCCATTGTTTTAAAGAGTCTATTATAAATGATTTCTGAAATGTTCTGGCAAAAGGTACAGTCATGTTCTCTTTGTTACGCAGATTATAATTTGAAGCAGCTGATCTATTGTTGGGTAACAAATCATTTAGATATGAGGGACATTCATTTATTATTATTGTGTGCACTGTCGTAAGTTTTTTTAATCTTTCGTCTCTCCTTTAGTAGTAGCCAGCCGGTTTCGAAATATAAACTTTCTCTCGAAACCTGTCACAATTCTGACAGTGTCAAGTTGTATTATTTCAAGTTTATTTTCGTTATAAGCAGAACAGTTGTCCCATACTTCCGATAAGTATTCCAAAATAGGTCTTATCAATGTCAGATATATTTTTGACAGATTATTTCTATTTAATTGATATTTACTCATAGCTGAAACCATTTTCACTGTTGATTTGGCAATAATTGAAACATGTGCAGTCGATTTCGTATCTTGAGATAACGTGACACCGAGATGTTTGTGAGTTTCTACATGTTCAATGGCACTGTTAGCATAGCAAATATTTGGATAATCCCTGTATCTTTTTGTGCCTAAGAAACATGTATTTTGTCTTGGTTGGATTAAAGTTTACAAGCCACGTTTCTCCCCACTGATGGGAAGAGAGGAGGTCTTGATTTAGTCTGTCTTCAATTACGACCATATCAGTAGATGAAGTTCCTATACATGTATTTTCGGCGAATAACCTAGTAATATTTTGTAGCTGATCAGTAATTTCATTTATATAAACTAGAAATAGGAACGGCCCCAGTACAGCGTCCTGTGGGACACCTGCTTTAGTGATTTTTTTACTACGTAAACTACCATTAAAACATAATCCTTGGCAACGAGCTGACAGCTAATAATTTACCAGTTATACCATATTGTTGAAGTTCATGCAATATACCTTTGTGTCATACCCTGTGGAATGCCTTAGAAATATCACATAATATCATACATAAATATTTATGATCATCAAGCGAATTAAATGTGATGGTAAATGTCAAATAGTTAATTTGTTGTATAATTGTTTAGCATGAATCCCGATTGATATTTGGAAAGTAGTTTATTCTCCAGAAAGTAATTATATATTCTTTAAAAAATATGTCTTTCAAATAATTTCCCAAGACATGATAACAGTGAAATAGGCCTGTAGTTGGAAGGGTGGTATTTATCTCCCTTTCTGTACAAGTCATAACATTAGCTAGTTTCTATTGTGATGGGAATGTGCTTTGTTCAAGAGACAAATTAAATAACAAGCGTGAAGGATTGGCTATGGATAGTGATATGTTTGTTTAGTAATCTGTGATTCAGGTTGTCGGAACCGCTTGCTTTATTCACCTGTTGGGACTTTGTGAGATCTGTTTGGTTTTTTTTAAATTTTCAATAACGGTATAATCCAATTCATGA